AAACTCAACTGTTTAACTCTAGGGGAGTTGGAAAATGAGCCTATATTTTCAAAAATAGTGGTGTGTTCCTTTAAGTACATCTCTATATGTAATTTCACAGTTGCTTTTATTGTCTTTGAAATGTGGTTAAACTGCACTGCTGAATGTAATGACAAGCATTTACGGCAAAATAAAATATACATGTCACTTCCACTGAAACTTGCATGCCATAAATATATTTGTTATTACACATTTGTAATGAAGTCACAATTTAGTAAATTTAAAATACTTTAACTTTAAATACTTAAACAAGTGCTTTAGTATGTTTTTCAACACATCAAAATAATTGTACTTTTTAAAGCATGATAAATAAAACTTATAATTTGACTTTTTTTTTAAATATAGTTTTAAGATTTGAAGTATACTACAAGTGCTCATTTGATACAATCATGTGCATTTCTTTTTCACAAGGGTACATGTAGCTGTGAGGCTCTAACCTCAATGGAGAAGCTGTATGTATCTGATTCGCCCATTTTAGCAGCTTGGAGAAGAAAGTAAAAGCCATAGAGGCTGATGGTTTGAGTGCAGCACTCTTGTTCCATACGGTGAAACAGGGAAAAACACAACACACAAAAAACTGCCTTACAAGCAAGTAAAAGAACATCAGCATGAAAGAAAACGCATGGGTTGACTTTGTCATATTGTAACAATTGCAAGTGATTGAAGGACTGAAAAGCTCTGGGAATGGCCATAACACATCAGTGTTAAAGTGTCAGAAAGTGTACAGCACCCTATCAAACATCATTCCAAACTGGATAGCTTGCTTGGAGAAGTCAGTCACGACCATGTCGCCCCTGCTGTAAAGCTATGGAAAAAAACATACAGATCAACCCTGAAGCTACTGAATTAGTTTTCATTTGGTGACAAAAAAATCTATACAACTTGTATTGAAACAAGCAGCTTGTGAATTATGTATGGCACTACATCTGGAGTGATGGGTGGGTTGAATGTAGCGTTGTGTTTGTCATCTCTACACACACTTACAGTGTGGTAATGATTAGACAGGATGTGAAGCAGCCAAGATTCAGGAAGAACTCTGATGTTCTGCAGCTCTTGCAGATGCTGCCCTGAGACATAAACACATATAAACAACATAACTAGAATATAGTGTTGGGCTGTAGCTGGGACATACTGTTTGTCTGGACACTCTCTCATTGAGATATACACATTCATTCTGCCTAACGGTCTGTTTTCAGTTAAGCTAACAGTGTTCAGCCACAACAGTATTCAGAGATTGGGGACAAAGATGTATGCTTGGTTTTGAAGACCAATCTAATGTTGTAGACGATGTTAGTTTGTGATGTGAGCTAGTGAAGCATCTGTCATGAAGCATCCAAAACTTACATTCAGTAATGCCATGCATACGAAGAGCTTGAAAGATAGTGATGTATGTTTGACCCTGAGGCTGTTCCAAGAAAACAGCCGTTTCCCTGAAACAGACAGATATATGATGAAGGGATGTCATTAAAGCAGCATATGTGCATGAAACTAGCTAAGCAGTATCAAGGTCATTTCAAAAAGAACGTACTGTATATAGTGTACTGAATTATTGTAATGTCCTCCGTAAATGGGGTTTTTACTGTCTGGAATTATACTAATGGATCATATGCGTTGTGTTGTTGCTGACAGCTGTAAATGGCATGAAGGAGGTTACGTACTTGGAGAAGAAGTTGATGACGGTGCTATGGGCTGGTAGGGTCTATCTGAAGGGGGTTAACTGCAGGTACAGCCAGTGCAGAACTGCTCTCAAGACCTCATACTCATTAGATGCGAACAGTCTAGACACAGAAACCTTATTAGTTTCCTGCTGATTTACTCCATCTGCTCATTTTTTATGTTTTAATAGTCGTTATGTATGCAGAAGGTGACTGGAAGTAAAGAAAAGTACTTATAAAAGTGTTACAAAGAATGTCCATGCCATATGTCACCCCAAAATCTAAAGAAATTATATTTTGCACAAAGAAAAAAAAAGCCTATTTTAAGACCATTAAGTGTTTTGCAGAGTAAAATTGCTAAATCACATTTAACACATTACAATAAAGAAAAATTAATAAATAAATAAATAATGATATGGGTCCACGCATCATGGTATTAGATGGTGCAATGTATTTGATGTTGATGTAAAATAGAAAAAGTTTGGAGAAAGGATGATTTTTCTGACTGTATTACAGTAACGAGACTCTAATGAGAATTAGCATTAGATATATTTTAAGACCAGTAAGTTTTTTGCAGAATGACATTACAAAATCACATTTCCTCCACTGATAGATCGACAGACAGACAGATATTTGTACAATATTTAGGTCTATGCATCATGGTAGTATTTGGTGCAATGTACTTATTTTATGTTCATGTAAATGAAGCCAACAAAGAAATGAAGATATGAAGTAAATGATGTAAATAAAGAAAACATTTGCAGAAATGAGAGTAATTAGAATCTAATGAAAATTACCATTGAGAATAAAGGGAAAACATAAAAACACAAAAGTAAAACATCCTGATACACTTCAGTAATGAAGCTTTGGAAGGAAAATGTCACGATATAAAACATCCTAATGGTCTTATAAATAGGTTCTTTATGCAAAAGCAAAGCAATCAAACAAGATCCTGATGCAAGTGCTTCTCAATGTGATTTGCCACTGAAAGGTCAAAAAGAGACGAAAAAGTATGAGACCTTGGACTAAGCAGGGTCTTCAGCAAGAGGTCAAAGGGCAGATCTCTGAGTTTTATGTGGCAGGAGAGATCAATCACTAGGAACAGTTCCAACCAGCGCTCACATACTCTCTGGAGAATAGTCTCTTTGAACCAGGGCCGTTTCTAGGCATAGGCGAGCTGGGCGGTCGCCTAGGGCGCCACCAGCTGAAGGGGCGCCAATGAGCGCACGTACTGGCACTTTTAGCAGGGTTGTGATAAAGAGTGGCACGGTCACCCTGAAATATGACTGCCGCCCCCACTGGATCCCCCAACATTATTGGGCTAGAGTACTGTCAATCTGACGATGCCTGTATGCCACTAGATCAGAGTGCTGTCAATTGCTGCCTGATTGTTGCATGCAAGTGGCAACACAATGATATTACAGATACTAAATTGGGCAAAATGTTTATCTTAACAGTCAACTTACAAATAATGCATTCAGATTTGTGGAACTCAATTCACTGAATCTCCACAAATTAGTGTCGTTACTATGACAACCAATTTGAACGTGACAAGCAATTGGTGTCTGAAAATATATATAATATTATTTATATAATAGGGATTTCGCCTTGGGCATCAAATTGGCTAGAAACGGCCCTGCTTTGAACCGAAAAACACAGAAAGAGTTTTATAGACGTTTACACACTGAATAAAAAGCTCCCCCTATTAGTCATTTAAAGAACAATAGAAAAATACATCAATAATAATAATAATAATAATAATAATAATTACCTTGCAAGACACTCGATGAAAGCTGCACACAGTCAAAGATGAGATATTTGTCAACATCTCTTTAAAACACCTGTCAATCATATCCATCAGCCTTAAAAGGACACAATATTTGACATACCATACAACCCTGTGTATTCATATATGTCTGGATTATTTCTGATATTCTGAAGTGACATTCTGAAACTAAACACGTAAGCATTCGTGAATGTGTGTACAATTTAATTTGCATTAATGATTAGAAATTGACGCACCCATGACCAAGGGAGAAATGGACTGTTATGCAATGCATGTTGTAATTCAAACTCTGCTGGGTGGAACATGGTTGATCTTACTTGAAAAACATCTTTCAAATAAATACAGTGACTGACTGCAGTGCCAAAATTCACATCCAGTTCCACCCAACATCCTGGATATGAATCAATCTAAGATTGGACAACACAAACTTCTCTAGAGACCTGGGTGTGGGCTTATGCACTAATGCATCAGTCTTTTTTTACTTAATATGACACATATTCATGACTTTCATTATTTGTAGGAGACAAATTCTGTTACCCTTTGTCAAATCTTATTAGGCTTTTTTTTTTTTTTGCTGGCCAAAATATATGTAGAATCTAAATATATCTTGTAAACAGCATGGGTTAAGAAAAAACATTTTGCAAATTTAAAATATATTTAATTCAAACCACCAATATATTGTGAGATATTATTACAATTTAAAACAACTGTTTGGCAATATAATGTCAAATGTAATTTATTCCTGTGACGGCAAAGCTGAATTTTCACCAGTCTTCACATTTACATCAGTTTTCACATAATCCTTCGGAAATCATTCAAACATTCTGAATATTCTTTAAAAAAAAAAAAAAAAAAAAAAAAAAAAAAAAAAAAAAAAAAAAAAAAATATATATATATATAGTACTGAACCTGCCAGTGCAAGAACAGATTTGAAGATGTCAATACTCACTCCTGGAAGAGGTTTGACATTCTCAGTAATGCAGCAGCAGAAAGCACAGTCTCTCCCCACTCATTGGGGCGTTCCTCGGGGTCATACAGTGTCCGCAGGGCAAAAGACAAAGCTAGAACACAGCAGAGATTCTTATATAACTGTGTTTCTCATTAATTGTCACTGCATGCCCCCTCATCAGTCAACATCACTGAGGTCAGAAACTCATGTGACAGCAAGTCAACAAGTGATGATGACACAGCTTGTTATTTACTGCTATAATGTAATAAATCTGACATCTTTTTAGTGCTTACCCTCTTTATTGATGGAGGCATCGGTGACAGGCAGTCGGAGAATCAAAGGCCCGCTGAGATGCCAATTCCTGTAGACCAGTCCTCTTCCACATGTAGACTTACTAGCCCTACTGTCTTTACCAATGACAGCAATATCCAAACAAAACGGAAGGCCTGAATTTCTCTCTTGAACTGTTTCTCTTTTCCAAAAACTCTAAGATAAGCATGTAAAATATTTATAAGTTATATTTGAAGTGGTCTATTTATTATCATGACTATAATGGGATCTTCCATTTTGCATTATTTATTACATAATAATGTTTCACAAGTTATTATTCTGCATATTTTATGACTGTTTTAAATGAACTCCTTTATAAATAAACAGTTCTGTCCCATGCGCTCATATTATAATGACTTTTGGGTGGTGGCAACTATTTCTCTGAATTTTTTAAAGGTTATTTTAGAGGTAATGTGTGTTATTTCTGCACCACTAGTGTCACCAAACAGAACTGCAAAAATAATGACTGTTTTCAAACAAGTTTCCAGAACACTCTCCTCTCTCCCACTGGTTAGTCAAATAGATCCCCACATCATTGGTTGTTACAGTCTCTCTAATGAAGGCGCAGAAGACGAAGGATAATCCACACTGACAAAGTCTCCACAATGAAAAAGTCTTTAATATTATAATCCACAAAAAACTCAGGCAAGGAAACATCTCAGAGTGGTTGTAACATCAAACATGAAATAATAACCGACAAACTACTGAACAGAAGGAAGACTTTAAGTAGGGCAGCTGATGAGGGGAAAACAGGTGAAGGGAGTTAACTAATAATGACTAACGAGCAAATAAATCAAAAACCATGGAAACTAATAGACAAGGGGACTCAGGGAAATGTGGAGGCAGAAACAGAACATAATAATGACATTGGTTGAGCCTACAGTATGTTGTTGTGTCAAGCTTGGCGGGGTGCTCAAACGATTACACATTTTCAGTTTGTACTGTTAGAAATAGATACTGATCCTACCTGAGTGTGTTCATGCAGCATACTGTTATGCACTATACACTACAAATACACTTAAATACAATACATATACACTGCTATACACTATACACTATACCAATTATACACTATTGACTAATTTGCTGTGTAATAACACTTTAAGATCTTGAGAGACCTGTTAAGCTCTACTAACCCCAGAAAACAAAATAATGCAGAACACACCCGAAACAGAACAAATCAGAGAAAAAAAAGAAAACGAAACAAAACACAATAAGCCAAAACAAAACACTATACATGATGTATACCATACCATGGGCACCATACCAGCTCTCTCTTGTAGCTGAACATCCCTCTGTCTTTTGCTGTTGGTATACAACTCAGATAAGGTGTCTGAGCCACTCAGGACAGAGCAATGCAGCTCCCACCTGACCCCCAGACATTCCAGTACTGCATCTATGAACATGAACAAACAGGACATATATTTACCATATCATTATATAGCATTTTGTAGAAGCATGCATAAAGAAAAACAGTAATGAGGAATAACATAACAAATTAAACTAGATTTGAACATTTTCAGAAACAAAATGTAAGTCCCATTTGTCACCGTAACAGTACTAGGGTACTGTGGATGGCTGCTATGTCATTGCTAAGTGGTTGCTAAGGTGTTCTTGGTGGTTGGTTAGTCAAAACAACCCAACTCCAAGTCTCTCTGGCCACTACTTTAGACAAAAAGTACAAAACTAGTTACTGGGATGGTACCCTTTCAAAAGGTACACTTTTATAAAAAACTTATTTAACCCTAAAGAGTGCATATCAATAGCTTAAAGGTACATATTAGTACTTTATGTGTACAAATTAGTACCTTTTGAAAGGGTACCGCTCCACTGACAGCAAGTGTGGTGGGTCATTGCCAGGGGGTTGCTAAGGGTTGCTTTGGCTTTATTTTGACTTTAATCTTACTTTTGGCTTACTATCCCAAATTAAAAATGATTTTCCAGGCTCTAGATATGACTCAGATTCCTCATTCAAAGTCTACTATCGTTTTATCATTATCCAGGTGAAAATCACTTACAAATGCAATAATACATCTCTTCTACACAAGTCACATAATTTGAGGCATCATTCATTCCCTTAAAACATGGTTGTTAAAAAAAATTTGAGCAATAGCAATAATAATCTATTATTATTATAATAATAATATATTATTATATATATTATATACTATAATAATTCCTGCCTTAGCAAATATCACCAATTAGATTGCCAATACTTCATACCTGGTTTAGCGTTTTGGGTCACTCTGCGAGACAAAATGTAAAATTGTTCCTCTGGAGTGTCAAGCTTTGAAGACCATGTGACATCTTTGCTGCACATAAAACACACACACACACACACACACACACAATGTCCCCTTAATCCCCTCTAATCCCACAGTGCTTCAGTGCCAAGTGTTCTGCGGCCCCTCCTGATAGTCCTTTGTGTTCAAAGGCCCACCAAATTGAAAGTTGTCATTCTCTAATGTGCTATCCAACCTGCTCCATAATGATAGCATGTGGCCTGGCAGATATCCCATAGATCTATGCCTGGAGTGAAATAAACTGTCCCCTCTCTCCTCGTCTGCCTGTCTCTCTCTCCCGCTAAACAGTTGTCATGGTAGTCCACTTGCCCCTGGCATCATACCAGAGTCTGCTACGTCGGCTGGCCGAGAGCGGGTGAACGAGACGTGGCAAAAGGGATTGTGGGCAGCTAGTGGCATCCTCGTGCCAGTGGAGTGCCATGGGGTCAGCTGCAACATAAACACACAATGAGAGAGGGTGTGCATGTTCAAGAATAGGATGAAGTGATCCAGATATTTGAGCTCTGAGTAAACATATGTCTGTGACAGATGACTGTTTGCATTAATGAAAATAAATGCAAATGAAGAATATTCTACTGTGGATTACTAAATACTTCAGCGCTTTTTATTTATCGTTTGTTTAATCACTCCAGCTTTATAAATCATATATTTGCTATATAATTTGAGATAATGTATACCATCTGTTATGAATCCTTTTGCACTTCTTATTAAAGGAATAGCTCACCGAAAAAATGAAAAATTGCTGAAAATGTGCTCACCTTCAACCCATCCAAGATGTAGATGAGATTGTTTCTTCATCTGAGCAGATTTGGAGAAATTTAGCATTACGTCACTTGCTCACCAATGGATCCTCTGTGAATAGGTGCCATCATAATGAATCAAACAGCTGATAAAAGCATCACAATAATCCACATTATATTATAATTATATTGTTATGATATACAAATCCATAAAGATGTTTTTTATCTTAAAACCATTGCTTCTAAAACATGAGTCCTCTGTCCATAATATTTCTTTCTCCAATGAAAATATTGTCTAGTCTGAATCAGGAGAAAAATATGCACCGATAAAGCACCATTTACAAACAAAAACAGTCCAAAACAGTTGTAAACAAATGTGTCAGTTGATTTTAATGTAAGATGGACTTTTTCAGTAAAGAAAGTGTTATTATACAGTAGATTATGGACTGGTATTTGGCCAGAAGCAACGGACTAGTTAAAATGCCTTCATGATGGATTTGTTTCTTACAAACAAGCAGCTTTTTGCTTCACAAAACATTAATTGATGGATTGGGGTTGTGTGGATAACTTGTGGATTATTGTGATGTTTTTATCAGCTGTATGAACTCTTATTCTGACGGCACCCATTCCATTGGTGAGCAAGTGACGTAATGCAAAATGTCACCAAATCTGTTCTGATGAAGAAACAAAGTCATCTACATGTTGGATAGCCTGAGGCTATTTTTTTTTATATATTTTTAAAAAACATTTTTAAACATTTGTTTAACATCAACATAGTTTTTTCACATAATCTTTACAACACTGTTAACAATATTTGATACATGACTGAATACAGTTTAAAACACAAATTTGCATGATTTTGTTATTTTGTAACAATAAACACTAAATAAATATAAAAATCTATTTAATGCAATTAATCCCTCAAACTCAACGTACTGGACAAAAAAGAAAAGAAAAAACCCTATCATCATCAATCTTGTTAGCCGGCTGAGAAACAGAAGAAGAGTAATTTATTAAGTTTGGAATACATGACGGTCAGTAAATGAAGTCATCATTTACGTTCTTTCTTTTTTTTTTTTTGGTGAACTATACCTTTGATAAAATATTTAATAGTTTTCTCTTCAAAAGACATGGGGTTTGTGCCTTTACTGCTTTAACAAAGTAATAGGACAGCAGTTTATTCCCTATTTGTGGAAAGTATCTATTAACATCCCTATATTGTCTCTGAAGTAAAAACAATCAGAAAAGCTATAACTCCAATCATAAGAAGCATTCAATTCAAGCAGATGCCACTCAGCATGCGCACCTCTATTTCATTGCAATATTTGTATTATTCCGAATTAAACAGACTCACAGAAACCTGGCACAGGAATCAAAAGCCATGTCTTTCTTACTGTTTGACTGGGTAATGGGCGTTCAAGTGCGTAACTGCCAATGCCTCTTAAACTCCTCCCATGCCAAAACCCTACAGGTGCCTATCTCTAAAATGATGCCAGGTTTGTGACACCAGGTCGGCGGGTTGGCACAGTCTGGCACTCGTATCCCCCTGGTCAACCCAGGATTCTGGCAAAAGTCAATGCTGAAGATGAGCTGCATGCGGCATTATGGGTAAAACTCATTAGTGTAAGTTGGATATTCCTTCATATAACAAAGCTTTTGCCAAATCTGAACACCGTTCTGAAAAGATATGTTTATTCATGAACTGGATCTGTCTTGCTCTATGTACTGTAATGCAATGCAATAGATAGCTACACACACACACACACACACACAGACAGACTCTGTTTTGTATAGCTTATATATTGCATTGCATTTTTATCATATAGTATTATATGATAAATTAAATATATAAATATATATATTTATATTCAACATGTTAAACAGTAATGGTAAACATATAAAAAGAAAAAAGAAAAAATGTTAAATAGAAAAAATAAATAAAATGTGAGGAAGACATATTCTGAAGAATACAGTGGCTTCAAAAAGTATTTGGAGTATTTGTAAGTATACACTTAAGATGCACCTAAAGATGTCTAAATGTTACTCCATTATAAATAACAATATAAAAGCAAGTAAACACACCGTACAAATGCATTTACAGGTGAACCTTTCACAAAAAACTTGCTGCTTCTTTGTAATTAATTATGAAATTTATTAGCAATTTCTGAGTGAAAATTGTTTCTACACCAGATTTGTAAGTGTTGTATTTAGATATTTGTTCGGTCTAAATTTTAAAATATTATTTCTATTGTGTTATGATGTTTTTGTTGTTATGTTTTTACATGGTATTCACAATGCATATATTGGGCTAAAATACTTTTTGAATGGTAATTTCAATTTTCAATTTTCATATATAGTTTATGATTTGATAGTTAAATAAGGTTTCATATGGTAGGGATAGTTCATCCAAAAAAGAAAATTCTGTCATAATTTACTCACCCTCCAGTTATTCCAAATCTGTACGAGATTGTTTCCTCTGCTGATCACAAAATAAATATTTTGAAGAATGTTGGTAACCAAACAGTTAACGGTAGCCATTGACTTCCAAAGTATTTTTTTCTATACTATGGAAGTCAATGGCTACCGTCAACTGTTTGGTTACCAACA